TTACTGATGCGAGACAAAAAATACGCGGCGGTAGAGCAATGAATTATCGTCTTAGCGTTGAACGAGAATTCAACACACACAGACACACAGATAACAGAAGAGAAACACACAGATAACAGAAGAGAAGTAAGCAAGAGAAGACCTCAACTTTTTAGGTAGAAAACCCTTGAAAGAGGGAAAAACCATAGGGCCTAGCCAGTTGAAATAATCTACTATGAATGATGAGTACATATGTCAATTCATCCCCTAAATTAGGGAAGATGGAATCAAAAAGTTGTAGAACTATAATCTGGCTGTAGTTCTTGGTAACAGCAGGTTGCAAGAGTCATTATTGATTATTGTGGAGGTAGTAGTATATCGTGAGTGTTGTAGATAGTTGCTCCAGAAGTGTTGATTGACCAAACAAATTGTAATAAACAATTACGGGAGTTGTGAACCACGTAGGCCGTAGTGACGAGTATGAATGACGTCCGTAGACCGCCAGGGTCGGAGTCTTGAGCTACTCGAGCTGTGAACCACATAGGGCGTTGTTGACACATGAACCGTAGTGATAAGCTCATGTCCCACGATGATGGCTGACAGTGTTTGATTGGCGGTGATCGGCGATGATTGGTGATAATCGACAGTGACGGTCGACAGTGGATGACAGTGATCGACGAGTCTCGACGACGGCCTGGCGGTGGTCGATGGCGATCGACGGTGGTCGACGACACTCGAGATGATGCTGGACTTCAACTCCTTCCTAGAGCTTCTAGTTCTCTCTGAAGCTTCCAGCCCCCCCCCCCCCCCCCCCCCCCACCACACCAGGGTGGGGCTCTATTTATAGTGTTCTGAGTGTCACTAATGCATGAATATGAATCATTTTGATCGGACGGTCCGAAGAGCTCCTCCAATCAACTAATGTTTAATGAACATTTGAGTGCATTAATAATGTCAGAATTGGGTGATATTGGGTTTGTTGGATTCGTCTTGTCGAGTCACTAGATTTAAGTATAAACTTGTCATATTCGACAACCATTTGATCTTTCAAATGTGTCCGGAAATCATCAAAGTGTTGTCCAATGACTTGATATGAGTTTGATTTGACTCGGATTGAGCTAATTTTCATATCATTAGGTCTGTCTCATCAAGCTGATCAGTTTGACCATAAGTTTGTTGAAATCAGAGCTCTGGGTGACTTTTTATCAAAATTTTAATGTTTTCTGCTTAAAATATCATCTCGAGATTCGTGTCATGCCTCAAGATTCGTGCATGATGATAAAAGTTTGTTGGTGGTGTATCAATTATTATTATAATTTTGTTTTTTAGCATTAACAGCAGCACTGTGGAACTTATTTTTGCTAGATGTAAATTAAAATTTATGAGAAATTTTCAATTATTTTTCTATCAGTTAACCGTATAAAATATTTTTCCTTTCCTTTTAAGTTGGAACAATCACTCATTTATGAACTACTCTTCCCTTTGCTTGGAACATTATTTAAAAAAATATGTATGTTTTTTATTTATGAACTATTCTTTTTTTGGCTTGCAGCATTATTGTAAGAAAGCATATTATATATATTTTTTTATTTAATTTATATATTATTTTATTATATATCATACTTATAAATAAGCAATGAATAAATTTCAAATTATTCTATTTGATTCATTTAACTTTTGAATTTAAAAAAAAAATTCAAATCTTAATTAATAAGCATACTTCAATTATATTTAAATTACTTAGATTAATACTTTGAAATTTATTGAATTACTTATTTATTAAGATTTATAAAACTATTTTAATATTTTTTTATAAGAAAATTAAGCGTACATTCCAATTTTTGGATTGTTAACTAGAATTATATGAAAAATCAAGTACAGATCAAGTTTAAATTTTATTTTAAAAATGAAGTACTCGATTTAATTTTTAACTTATTCATGAACTTATGATTTGATCAAATCAAGTCCTATCCATGACATACTGCAGCACCAAAACTTTAAACCTAATTTTTTGCAATCTATGTAGTGCATATAAAGGGTGCTTTGAGTGTGGCTAAATCATTATTGCAACATAGATAGATAAGAGTGGGCTCATCCTCCTACATCACTTAGTTAATATTGCCAATTAAATTGGTTACCATGTTGATGGGGATCAACGCCCGCTTGTCTACGAATATATGCTTTTGGGTAATTGAAGAATTATTTGCATGATTTGTTATAAGACAAGGAACCCCTTAATTGAAATACAAGGATAAAAGCTAACATTTGGTGCAACTAAGGGATTATAAAACAAATTTGATAAAGAAAATTCTCTTGTTATTTATATAGATTTTAAATTTTCAAAAATATTAATTGTTGAAAAACAAAAGTAATATATTGGAAGATATAAAATATATCTAATTTACTACTACATTGTGTGTCATCTTCTTCCATGTATTCAAATGAAAGGGCTTGCTGTAACATGAAAGATCATGCATAATGGTCTTTTAGTAGCCCCAAAGGCATATATTCATAAGCAAGCAGGTTTAAAGTCCATTTACATCTAGTTATTTCATAAAAATAATCTAACCTTTCTTAATGTGTCTTATATAAACATAATTAATACTAGCTTCACCTAATAAGTATTAAGGTTTAAAGTTTAAGTATAGACAATAATTTCATAAAAATTAAATGCCTGCTTCATAGCATATATATATTTTTTTATGGTAAGAATTGTTTCCTTCTTGGACAAGATTTTAGAGGAAATATTGATTATTGTTTAGTGTTTCAATTGTATGTATTTAATTGCATTTTAAATGTGTAAATATTTACTAAATAGAAGCAAACTATATTTGAGGTTTATCAGAGCTTTAAATACAACTTAATCATTATATTTGTGGCGTATGTATTTTGCATAGGAGTATTCCTCATTCAAATTCTTGCATCCCATTGTCTCCTACAAATAATAGTCGTCTGCTTAGTGATACAAATAGATAAAGTATATGCTTGTTTGCAAGAAAAAAAAATAAAAAGCAAAATCATTTTACAACCTTTCTACTTCTAAACCAAATGAAGGCATGCGCCCCTCAAGTTATTCTCTATAGTATATCTCCTCCTAGCTCTTCACATAACTTATTGTCAAAAAGCAAATTCATAAAAAATTAAATGTACATGTCAAAACATGTATATTATATATATATAGAGGGGATTGAACCTCAGACAAGCGGACCAACTAATCTGAGTACGTGGTGCTTATATATATATATATATATATATATATAAAGAATTTTTTTCCTTATGTACTAGAGAATAAATGAGGTTTTGATTATTGACAAGTGTTTGATGGCATTTTGAATGCATAGATGCTTATTCAAATTAGAAATAATTTAAATATTTGTGGCTTGTTGAAGTTTTAAACATAACTTTATTATCATAGCTTTGGCTCATCTATACAGCATTGGAGTTTTTCTTATTCATTATTTTACATATCAATATTTCAAAAAATAGTGAGTTGCTTTACAAGTCATATAAAAAAATAGTTTTTTATGGAAATATATCTCCTAAGGTATGTTTGGTTGCAAAATAATAATAATAATACTATAACATACTTAAAATCAAACCAAATGAAAGCAAACACTTCTCCCATTCCATTATGCAGTAGCTCTCCATTTAGCTTTTCATATAGTTGAAAATTAACTTCAAACTTCAAGATTCCAACTCATATAAAATAGAAAAAACATTCCAACATATAAGCCCAATTTATCACCACATAGTTAAATAGGAAAAAGTAGTTATAACAAATCCAAACTTTCATTAAAAAAACATCTAAATTGAAAAAAAAAAATCACTCATTTGAAAATAATGTTCTCATTTCACGTTAGAAACCATAAGAAAATACATATTACTCATTGATTTATAATGTTAGCACAAAGATGCCTATATTAAAGTAAAGCAAGACTATAATATATATATA